ATTTGTCTTTCTCTGTCTGACTTACTTCACTTAATATGATAATCTCCAGGTCCATTCATGTTGCTGCAAATGGCATTATTTCATTCTTTTTTATGGCTGAGTAGTATTCCATTGTATATGCAGCACATCTTCTTTATCTATTCCTCTGTCGATGGACATTTAGGTTGCTTCCATGTCTTGGCTATTGTAAATAGTGCTGCAATGAACATGGGTTGCATGTGTCTTTTTGAATTATGGTTTTCTCTGGGTATATGCCCAGGAGTGGAATTGCTGGATTATATGGTAGTTCTATATTTAGTTTCTTTGTTTTTTAAATTTATTTTATTTATTTATTTTTGTCTGTGTTGGGTCTTTGTTGCTGTGCACTGGTTTTCTCTAGTTGCCGTGTGCAGGGGCTACTCTTCATTGTGGTGTGCGGCCTTCTCATTGTGGTGGCTTCTCTTGCTGCGGAGCATGGGCTCTAGGCACGCAGGCTTCAGTAGCTGTGGCTCGCGGGCTCTAGAGCGCAGGCTCAGTAGTTGTGGTGCACAGGCTTAGTTGCTCCGCGGCATGTGGGATATTCCCGGACCAGGGCTCGAACCTGTGTCTCCCGCATTGGCAGGCAGATTCTCAACCACTGCGCCACCAGGGAAGCACTATATTTAGTTTTTTAAGGAACCTCTGTACTATTCCCCATAATGGTTGCACAAATTACATTCCCACCAACAGTGTAGGAGGGTTGGGATTGGCTTTTTATGGTAGAAAACTTTGCAGCAGCAAGAGCTGTTAAACACTAGGATGGTTTACCAGCGACAGCTTTAGAAAATCTTTTCCTGGAGATTTTCTTTCTTTGTTTGTTTCTTTCTTTGCCTTTCTTCCTTTCTTTCTTTCTTTCTTTCTTTCTTTCTTTCTTTCTTTCTTTCTTTTTCTTTCCTTCCTTCGTTCCTTCCTCCCTCCCTCCCTCCTTTCCTTCCTTCCTTTTTTTTTTGGTCATACCAGACGGTGGCTTACAGGATCCTAGCTCCCCGACTAGGGACCAAACCGAAACCCTCAGCACTGAAAGCACAGAGTCCCAGCCACTGAACCACCAGGGAATTTCCCCCTGGAGATTTTCATGCCTGAAATAGACTCACCATTTGTCCATGATTTCCTGTGGTGTCTCTTAAAACCATGGGAATGTACTATTCGAGCTCCCAAGTTCTATGTTGTTTGGTTCAACTCAACAAATATTTGCGTGTCGACTTGTTAGTGACCCTGGGCATCGCTATGATGAATTCATGCCACCTCTCCTTGCCCTCAACATGCCTCTTTTCCTGGGATCCCCATCTCAACATATGACACTTCCATCCACATGGTTGCCCAAATCAGAAACCTATGAATCAACTTTGATTCCTAGTCTCTCTCACCACTCACTTTCAATTAGTCCCTGATCTCTATCCTTCTACCTATCATTGGAATGTGTCCACTTCTTTCCAATCCCCCATCTTGGCTGCAGTCACAAGCATCTCTCATGTGGATTACTGCAGTAGTCTAAATGCTCTCCCTGCCCCCAAGCTCGGCCTTCCCTAATCCATCCCATACACATGGTCTTTCTGAAATGTCAGTCTGGAGGCATTTCACTCTCCCACTTAACATCTTTTAGTGGGCTTTCGGGCTTCTGAGAGAGGCAGGAGGTGGCACTTCGAGGAGCACTGCTTAGACCTCCCTGTGTGCTTTAATTCCATCTCTGCCACTCACCTGCTTGCTTGACCTTCAGTAAGTTACTTAAGCACTCCCTGCAGTTTCCTCATCTGTAAAAAGGGGGTCATAGCAATGATTCATTTTAGGGTAGTTGGGGGGGATGAAATGAACCTGGGTCTTCCCCTCTTATATGAACTCTTAACTTTGGAGTCCCCTGACTCTGGGCCTCTCCTCTCTGTGCTCACTCTCTTAGTCATCTCAACTAGTCCCATGACTAAATATCCATATATACTGATAACTCCAAATTTATGTCTCTCTAGTTCAGACCTCTCTCCCAGACCCTAGACTCATATATCTGGCTGCCTTCCCAACATCTCCACTTGGATGGCTACTAGAGGTGCAGTGTTTTATAACAATTAACAATTATTACATGCAAACTATTGTATACAGAATGGGTAAACAATAAGTTCCTACTGTGCAGCACAGGGAACTATATTCAATATTCTGTGATAAATCGTAATGGAAAAGAATATGAAAAAGAATGTCTACATGTGTATAACTGAATCACTTTGCAGTACAGTGGAAATTAAGACAGCATTGTAAATCAACTATACTTCAATAAAATAAATTTTAAAAAACAACAACAATTATTACAAAGCTCACGACCACCTGGCTCCTACTTACCACCCCAATCTCATTTTAGGAAAAAAAAAAAGAAAAAAGTCTTCATTCTTTCTCCTGTTCTAGCTCAGCTATAGTTTCCTCTCTCGTCTCTAGAGCTTTCCACATGTACCCTTCTCTGTCCTTCCCCCAGTGGAATCTGTATTCCTCTTTCAGGTTTCAGTTTAGATGGACTTCCCTGACTCTAAGTCTGCCCCTTCCACCAGCAACGCCCCGCCCCCCCCATGTGCTCCTTGCTCATCACACCGTTTTGTAATTGCTTCTCATTTGTCTTCTCAGCCAGGCTCTCTGACAACAGACTCGGCCTGTGTTGTTGGTCATTGCAGTATGCCCAGCACAGGGCTTCATGCACAGGAAGCTCTCAGCAAAGGTTAATTCAGTGAATGAGTGAGAAATGCCCGCAGCAGTGATAGCGTCTCTGCACCTTAGACACACATTGCTTAGTAACCGTGTGTAATTGTATCTTGTGCTGTTTCTTAGGCAGTAACAATCGCTGACACTTTTCTAACTCAGTCCTCACAGCAACTTTCCAAAGTAGGTACTGAAGTAGGTACTGTTAGTGTCCTTATTTGAAAGTAAGGAACTTGACATTTAGGGAAGTTAAGATACTTTCTCAATGACACAGCTGGTAAAGTGTTGGAGCAGGATTCAAACCCGGGGGTCTGGCACCAGAGCCCCTAACCCTACAGGAGGATGCCTCATGACTCAGCCATTCTGATTTGGGGTTGTCTCTCGGACTTCGTTCAAAATTAGCCAACTACCTGCCCTTAGCAAGTACGGCAAGGAACAATCCAGGCCACTTTCAGTAAACGCCTATCATGGTCCTGTGTCAGGAGGAGCTGCCGCTCCAAGTGAAAACCACGGCACAGGCAGGGAGACGCGCTCCTTGTCGGGGGTATCGTTACCATCATCACCACAGCTTACCATTTTATTGAACATATTCAATGTCCAGGCACCGCGGCAAACCCCTTCCACACCCCATCCCACTTAACAACTAGGTTTAACCTTGTCTTTTGACTTCTACTGCATGCTTTTCTGGGTCACAGTGGCTTGACTCAAAATAGTCCTCAGAGCTCCACTGCAATTCGGAGAGAGACCTGCCCAACCCCCTCATTTTCAGATCTGGGAACTGAGACTCTGAAAGGTTAAGTGCCTTGCCCAAGGTCGAGCAGGTGGTGGTCCAGCTGGGGCTGAAAGAGGCCGCCTGAATCCAGGTTCAGAGCTCTTGACAGGACGCCGTTACAGCCAATCACCTTTACTCAATGCACGTAAATGAAAAGGCATCACGTCCCTTTTTAAATGCACTTATTTAATGGAGAGTAGTTATTACTGCTCAGGATTTATTATCCATGATATGCTCTTCGATAAATCGTGCCCTGGAAGTCACACTTTTTGCATTCCTTTCGAGGTGCACTCCGCGGTTACGCAGGTGGCAGGGAAGACGCCCGGGCCCTTTGTGACTGGGTGGCTAGGGGCCGGGCGGTCCGCCAGCTGTTCATGACAGCCAATCAGGGCTCAGAGCCCCAGAGCTGCACCAATCAGAGATTACCGGAGCCTGAACAAGGGCCAATTGGGGGCTCCAGAACAGGGTGAGAGGCGGATCGCGATCAATCAGAGGGGAGCAATGGATCGCTGTTGCCCAATGAGCGGCCTTCAGACCTCCGTCGCGGGCGGTGCTGGCGAGAGTCCCGCTGGCCGGCCAATCAGCGGGCGAGCGGCGGCCGGCGGGCGCGGGGGGGCGCCTGGGGGCGGGGCCTGCCCGCGCGGCCGAACGGTGGGCGCTGCGAAGAACAAGTGGGGTAAGGAGGGCTGATGACCCGGGTCCCGGGTGGGGCTGGGCGCGCGGGGGTCTGGGCGGGGGCGCGCGGGGCAGGGGCGGGGCCACGGGGTGCCGCCTGACCGACCCTCCGAGCTGCGTGATGCGTCAGGGAGAGGTGAGGGGCTGAGTCCCGGTCTAGGGAGGTGGCCTGCTCTGGCCGGAGGGCTGGGGGAGGAGGGGACACTGTTGTCATGGCGACGCAGGTGAGCAGACGTGCGACCCTTTTCAGCCCCGGATCGTGCGCACACCTTAATCCGCCCGCGTCTACCTCGCCCCAAGCTGCCTCCATCCTCCCTGCGACCAGCGCAGAAATAACCCTCGTTGGCAGCCGACTCTGCGCCGCCACAGCGTGGCTCCCCGGCCCCTCTCCCTCCCGCAGCCTCGTCGCCGGCAGAGGGATTAAGCTCACCCTGCGGCACTTGGTACAACAGGCCTTCGCGATTTGGCCACCTGGACCAGTTCGCGGAGTGGCCACAGCTGGGGTCCCGCGGGGCCGCCTCGTTTCTGGGGACTGGCACCGTAGAGATGCCGCCGCCTGAGGGACCTGGGGGATCCCCCCAGAGGGATTTTTTTAAAGGCAGCCAATGTAGAGCCTTGTGCATAACATGTACTTAGAAAATGGGGTCTGACTGGATAAATCAAGATCACAACGACAGCTCTATTCCGTGGACCATCGCTATCCGTAGAAATAGGCAGCGATCCACATACTGTGTAATTTTACATGTTTTAGTAAGCACATTTAAAAAATAAACCAGTTGAATTAATTTTTATATCTTTTATTTACCCAATATATCCAAAATATCAATATTAAGTATAATCCGTATTAAGTTAATATTATTGACTTAATTAATTGATATTAAATTATTGGTAAGCTATCTTAAATTCTTTTTTTTTTTCCCCATACAAAGCCTTCAAAATCTGGTGCGTGTCTTACATTCACAGCACATCTCAGTTTGGACCAGCCACATCTGAAGTACTCAGTGGCCCCATTTGTCCGATGGCTACTGTGTGAGACTACACAACCATAACCATTTCTTATAGGTGTGTGTTGTTGCCAAATACATGAAACTCATCAGTGTTCTTTGACGCCCTCTTGTTACAAGGAGGCAACAAAAAACATGAGGCAGGGGCTTTTTTTCTCAAGGAGCTGCCAGTCCAGTTGAGAAAATAGACACTCAAAAATTAAGTGGAATTTTAAATGGATATGATTCAGGCAGTAGTAAAGATGACAGTATATGATTAGCTGACAAATGAGATGGCTGATAATTACCCTTAGGAATTCTAGAGAGTGATACTTCGGGCTCCTGCAGTAGCGGAAGACTTGAGTCTCGTCCTGAAAGGTGGGTAAGAAGGCTTGGGCTGCTGCACAGATGGGGAGGGGGTTTTGGTTGACTGCAACTGATCAGAGCTTCTCTTGTTTTTAGAGTTGAGCGTTTGCAGAGGCTGTCGGACGGAAAAAGACTTTCCTCTCTCACTGACAGCCTCCACCATGATTCACAGCCTTTTCTTGATCAACTCTGCTGGAGATATTTTCCTGGAGAAACACTGGAAGAGTGTGGTCAGCCGTTCTGTTTGCGATTACTTTTTCGAGGCACAAGAGCGAGCAACTGAGGCTGAAAATGTTCCTCCAGTTATCTCCACCCCTCACCACTATCTCCTAAGTGTTTACCGTCACAAGATCTTTTTTGTGGCTGTGATCCAGACGGAGGTGCCACCTCTGTTTGTCATTGAGTTCCTTCACCGGGTAGTGGACACGTTTCAGGTGCGTGAATGTGAGGAAGTTCATCCATGTACCTTACAAAGTGTCTTTATAGTTCTGTTTCCATTGTTTTCAGCCTCAGTGAAGGAACTTAAAAAAGAAATTAAAACTCTGACATTGCTCACTTCCTCTCCCGTCTGGTAAGACGCTTGTTTCTATTTATTGAACGGGCTGCATCTAGAATGACAGGTTGTATACTTTTGAACCCGTTGCCTGGGAAAGCCACCCTACTTGGTATGATGGTATACAGTCATTTCATTTCTAGAGAATGGAACTATCCTACATTTTGTTCACAAAGCTGATGAGTTTCGATTTTTTATTTATGGTAGACTTGATGTTAACCATCGTTAACGACATTGCTTTGAGTTGCATCAAAAAGTGATTCACTCACCCTGGCAGGGGTAACTTGGGAACCCATCCTTCAGCTTGAATTTGGGGTGCTCATCCACAGCATATGAGTACCAGTGACAGGCTGTTTTTTGCAAACTTAACATTGGAAAATCTTCTGTACCTGTAAAAACTTAAGTGACACATTTTCCAAGAGACAGTTTTCGAGTTTTTCCTTCAGGAATAGATTTGGAGATCTTGGGGCGTGGGAAGGTATGTCATACCAGGATGTCAACACCCTTTATGGCACAGGATTCTAGGCTGCCCAGACTCTGGATTCAGACATTTTCTCCCTAAAAGGATTGCTCAACTTCTAACGGTTGTGGTTGTTTGCATAACTCAACGATCCATGAGAATCAAGGGCCCTTTGGGTTAACTTCTGTGTCATGTGAGGCCTGGAATTGGTCACATGAATACAGAAATTGTGGGATTGGAGAAGAAGAGAGCAAGGACCCAGACATTACGATAAAAATTAAAAAGCAAGTCAAAGAGTCCTTTCATTTACCCTCAGATATAGATCACATGTTTAGAACAGTTTCATTCCCCAAAGAATATACATACATTTATATTTTTTTCCCCACATTCTTTTCTGGTAGTTCTATTCTGGGATCCCAGTGGCATACTTGTTCCATCACACAGTGAAAACCTGAGAATGATAAACCCCAGTATGTGGAAGAACTAGAAGAGCCCAGCAGTTTTGATCTTCAGCCACTTGAGCTGGGCCTTGTTAGGATTTCCACAGGGATGCTTTACGCCGTTAAGAGTCTGCTCCCTATCTCCGTAGTGATATGATGTAACTTATTACAAGGCAGGAAGTGAGAAATGTTGTTTAATCTAGTTGAAACCACAGAGGAATTGGGGAAAACCTCAAAGTGGCTACTTTGGAAGGCTGGGACTTCAGAGCTTGCCATTTTGGAAGCATTTGTTAAAAGTAAATGGCCGCATCCTGATTTTAATGTCTTATCTGATGTGTGTTCTCTGGCTGCGCTCTTCCTCTCATAGCGGAAGGAGCTCCCGCTATGGGAGTGACGCACTTTGCTGTGGCGCTGTGCTGTGCTCACCAGTCTGCTTCCAGCTGATTGAGAAAATCACATTCTGCCTGATTAGAAAATCGAGGGAGGTGTTTTTTAAAGTTTATTTTATTGAAGTATAGCTGTTTTACAATGCTGTAATCTCTGCTGTACTGCAAAGTGATTTGGTCACACACATATATGTATATATACATTTTTTCTTATTTTTGTCCATGATGGTTTATCACAGGATACTGAATATAGTTCCCTGTGCTCTACAGCAGGACCTTGTGGTCCATCTATTCTCTATATAAGAGTTTGCATCTGCTAACCCCAAGCCTCCCCCACTTTCCCTCCCCCTTGGCAAGCACAAGTCCGTTCTCTATGTCTGTGAGTCTGTTTCTGTTTCATAGGTAAGTTCCTTTGTGTCATATTTTAGATGCCACATGTAAGTGATATCATATGGTATTTGTCTTTCTCAGTCTGACTTACTTCACTTAGTACAATGATCTCTTGGTCCATCCATGTTGCTGCAAATGGCATTATTTCATTCTTTTTTATGGCCGAGTAGTATTCCATTGTATGTATATATATACCACATCTTCTTTATCCATTTATACGTCAATGGACACTTAGGTTGCTGCATGTCTTGGCTGTTGTGAATAGTGCTGCTATGAACATAGGAGTGCATTTACCTTTTTGAGTTATAGTTTTGTCTGGACATATGCCCAGGAGGGCATTGCTGGACCATATGGTAGCTCTATTTTTAGTTTTTTAAGGCCCCTCCATACTGTTCCATAGTGGCTGCAGCAGTTTACATTCCCACTGACAATGTAGGAGGGTTCCCTTTTCTTGAGTGAGATGTTTTATTTATTTTTCAAAATAAAATCATTCTTGAGAAGGAAATGTATAACTTTTCCCCCCCTTCAATCCTCATTTTTTTAAAGAAGAAATCTTTTTCTTTTAGAAACACATTCCTGACTCCTAAGTGGTCTTGGATATTGGAATGTCTCTGATAGTTGACGTCATCTGATGTAATTTAGGTCATATCTGGAGTCTGTGTTCCGTTTCGGATGTCATAATTTGAGGAGACTGTTGGAAAACTAGAGCAAATTCAAAAGAAATGGCAAGACAGTGAAAGAATCTAGAAACCTTACTGTAGCACGAACAGTGGGAGGACCAAACAGGGAGTTTGGCCCTGTGAAGAAAAATGCAAGTCAAAGCTTGTCCTGGTCTTCAGATCACTAGATCACCATGGGGCTGTTATGTAAACCTGTTCTGTAAGGCAGACCTAGGAAGCAAATTTCAGTTTAGCAAAAGAAGGAACTTTCTAACAGTCAGTGCCGCCCGTGAATAAAATGAGCTTTCTCAAAAAGGGTGAATTTCCCTCAGTGGGTGAATCCCTAGAGGGCTGTCTGAGAGGCCCAGCAGCAGATGTGCTGGCATTGCCAGGAGGGGCACGCCAAGCGGCTACAGCATTTCTCTCTGCATCATTTCATTGCCGCGCACCACAGATTACATGGTGCTTTGTAGTTTACAAAGCATGTTCATACATGTTCTTAGTTCATCCATCAGGCTGAGTTTTTACAACCCTGTGCAGCCCATGGTATTATCCTGATTATACTATGAGAGAAATCAAGACCCAAATTAGTCAGCAGGACTTAATCTAGTAGGTGACGATTAAGATTATTACCCAGGCCTTCTGGTTTGGAATCCAGTGCTTTTTCCACAACCCAGACAATTTAGTATCTAAGTTTAACCTTTGTTAATAAAAGGACAAAGTGTTACTAGAATCCTAGCATCTTAGAGTAAGGGGATCCAAAGAGATTTTCAGGTGTGCTAGCTCACCCCCTCATTTCATTTTGTTTCTCTCTCAATTCTTATTTGCTGCCTGAATGTTAAGGAATAGCACAACAGTAAGGGTTAAAAAGATTTTCAGGTCCAATGTATGTCATATCAGGTATTATCACTTTGCGTAGTTCTTTCAAATTCATGTTCATAAACACATAGAATAGTCTAGATTCAGTTTTGTATTCTTCATATTTTATTAGTTGAAGAAACTAACCCAAAGAGATTAAATGACTTACTCTAGTTTATGAAAGAAGTTATTAATGACACTTGTAGTACAATCCAGTCCGGTGTTCTTTCCACCAAACTGGGCCTGCCTAAGAGAACCATGGTTATGCTTCATTCACTTATTTTAGAAGATCCCAGAAACACAGAGTAAACACGTGTGGACAGGACTCGATCCTTGCTCTCTGGGAACATTCCTTCACTCATCACAGTCTCTGAGTGACAAATGTATACACGTATTGTATTTTCATCAGGATTATTTTGGAGTCTGTTCAGAGCCTGTGATAAAAGACAATGTGGTTGTGGTTTATGAGGTATTGGAAGAGATGCTTGACAACGGGTTTCCATTGGCTACCGAGTCGAACATCCTCAAAGAACTGATAAAGCCGCCCACTATCCTTCGAACCGTTGTCAACACCATCACAGGTACGAGGGGGGCCCCAGGGAAGGCTGCCACCATCCTGGGTGTGGCTTAGCCTGCTGTTGTGCATTGTTTTGAGTGCTTGTCTTTGGGGATCTCAAATGTCCAGGTGCTTTAATTTTATTCTTTATAGTCTTTGAATATAACATGAAATATATTTTTGTTATATAGAAAATATTCTGATTTCAATGACAGGATGAACTTTTCTCCTTTAAAAATAATTTGCCTGATTACAGAAGGAGCCCATGATTATTGTAGGAATGTCAGAAACACAGAAAAGCACAAAAAACATGAAAATTTCTCATAATCCCACCACATTTTTAACATACGGTGTATATTTTTTATCTTTTCTAGACATCAGGATAATGGATGGACAGGTGGAATTTTTTAAAACAACTGTTTTATATATATATATATATATTTTGTGTGTGTGTGTGTGTGTGCGTTACGCGGGCCTCTCACTGTTGTGGCCTCTCCCGTTGCAGAGCACAGGCTCTGGACGCGCAGGCTCAGCGGCCATGGCTCACGGGCCCAGCCGCTCCGCGGCATGTGGGATCTTCCCAGACCGGGGCACGAACCCGTGTCCCCTGCATCGGCAGGTGGACTCAACCACTGCACCACAAGGGAAGCCCTCTTGTATATTTTTAAACTTAACTTTTCATCATTGTTTTGTGAACATGTTCCCATTATGATAAATATTCATCTACATAATTTTTGGTGACTTTACAATTTTCTGCCATACGGAATAGATCCCAGGTCATTTACTGTGTCCCTGTTTATGATGTCTCTGATTTTTTGTTCTTTTAAATAGCAAGGAGTTGGGCTTCTTATGCCTAAATCTTTGTGCACATCTAGAATGATACTTTTTCAGTATGGAAGTGCCGGATCAGAAGGTGTGCGTGGGGCCTTCCCTGGTGGCGCAGTGGTTGAGAGTCCGCCTGCCGATGCAGGGGACACGGGTTCGTGCCCCGGTCCGGGAGGATCCCACCTGCTGCAGAGTGGCTGGGCCCGTGAGCCATGGCCGCTGGGCCTGCGCGTCCGGAGCCTGTGCTCCGCAACGGGAGACGCCACAACAGTGAGAGGCCCGCGTACCGAAAAAAAAAAAAAAAAAAAAAAAAGGTGTGCGTGTCTTAAGGACTTTAATGCATTGTGCCACATAGCCCCCCAGAGAAGTTACGTCAGTTTATACTTTCAGTAGCAATTATGCAACCTGGCCAACTCTATTATTATCGTTATTAATTATTTTACAACTTTGGCAATTGGATAGTTTAGTGATATCTTGTTATTTCCCAACTTGTTTTTTATTACTAAGGAAGTTAAAACCTGTTCAAGTGTTCATTGACTGTTTTTCCTCTATTGTGATTTACTTTTTCATGTCCTTTGCCTGTTTTTTTGTTATTGTTGAAATGTTTTTCTTTTTTCCTACTAATTGAAAAGTATTCCTTTCATTTAAGAATATTAAACTATCATATATACTCTAAATACACACGCTAGTTTGCAGGAGTCTCTGTGTATTTTGAATGCTCTGTTGTAGATGTTTTCTCACATCCTGCCCCTGGTCATTTAACATTGTTCAAGGTGGTGTTTGTTTAGCCACCTTTAAAGTTTTTTGATGTAGTCAAAATAATCATTCTGCTTCATTAAGGTTTTACATTTTGGGTCTTGCTTAATATATAAGCAAGAGGTTTCATGGAATTTGACAAACTGAATGAAAAATACATTTTAAAAAGTAATTACAGAGGGGTTGGAAGAATTTTCCCTGTCAAATATCAAGACATATTTAAGTTCACTTGGTACATTAGACAAACACTCATAGAATAGATATACTTTAAGAGCCAAGACAGTTTGGGGGAAAAAATATTTTTTTAAAAAGAGCAAGAGAAAAAATGTGTCCTGTCAGAATCAAGATATATTATGAAGTTTTGGTAATTTTTAAAATATAGTATTAGCCCATTAATAGACAAATAGACGATTGGGATAAAATAGAAAGTCCAGAAACAGATCCTTTTATAGGAATTTGGTATAGATAAATGTGCTCATATATCAAATCCGTGGACTGCGGGCCAGTTGTTAAATATATTGTATCGGGGCAGTCAGCTTTGATACAGAAAAGAAATGAAGTTCCCCTACTCACTGTATACACAAAATAAATCTTAGCTGGATCAAGAGTTAAACACAAAGAAACTTTATAATTGTTAGAAGGAAAATTGGAAAATGTCTTTTTGATCTCAAAGAAGGGAAAGTCTTTCTTTTAAAAAAATACATTTTCTTCTATTTCTTTTATGGTTTTATTTTTAGATTTAATTCTTTAATCCATTTGGAAATTGTCTCGGTAAAGTAAGACTCTGTGGTTTTTTCTCCAAAACTGTCGGTTTCCCTAGCACTATTTATTGAATACTTTACCCCTTTTCCTCGTTTTTTTTTTAAAGTATGCATGCATCCATTTTATTTATTTATTTTTATTTATTTACTTTTGGCTGTGTTGGGTCTTTGTTGCTGTGCACAGGCTTTCTCTAGCTGTGGCGAGCAGGGCCTGCTCTTCGTTGCGGTGCATGGGCTTCTCACTGTGGTGGCTTCTCTTGTTCCAGAGCACAGGCTCTAGGCGTGCGTGCTTCAGTAGCTGTGGCGTGTGGGCTCAGTAGTTGTGGCTTGAGGGCTCTAGAGAGCAGACTCAGTAGTTGTGGTCCACAGGCTTAGTTGCTCCATGGCATGTGGGATCTTCCTGGACCAGGGCTGGAACCCATGTGCCCTGCATTGGCAGGTGGATTCTTAACCACTGCGCCACCAGGGAAGCCCTCCTCATTTTAAAATGATATTTTTATCTTGCACTAAGTCATTATTGGATTTTTGGTCTGTTTTTAGGCTTTCCTGCCTTATAACCATACTGATTTAATTATTATAGCTTGTTGATATGTTTTAATACATAGTGCCTCTTTTTAAGAAAACAAATTGTCAGGTTTTTCAATATTCTGGGCTCATTTAAAACTTTAAAAGCTTTGTTAGTGACTGAATCACTTATAAATACTGTGAAGTCATTTTCCTGAATCTCACTTAAATCTAGAAAAGATATCTGAGAACCAGCTATCTTAGTTGAAATGTTTTGTAAAGCTGCTGAGTATATGTGTGTTTAATGTTTCCTTCTTTATATTAAAAAAGATCCAGGTTACATTAGAAGAAAATAGATTTTATATTAGTTCTATTTCAGAATTTCAGTATAGAACCTTTGAATTAAAAAAAAAATTTAATACCTGTGGGGAAAAAAACAAATCAAGGAATCAACTTACAATTCTTACAGACAGGGAACGATCTGATTTATATTCTTTTCCTGAGTTCCAGTATTGGTATAAGAGAGATTATGTATACATTTTAATACCTGGCATAAATGTATCTAAAACCCTGCTTCAAACTAGAATACTGTTTTTACCCATGAAAATTTTATATCAGTATGTAGATTACCATCCCTACCGAAAGCCAATGCATTATTTAAGCTGCAAGTATTGTGCAATTTGAGAGACCAAGTTCAGATTACTTTCAAAACCAAAATATGATATCTGTTTCTCAGGTAACTTGTTAACCTTTATTCTGCTTGAGGAGGCAGACCAGCTGGTGACAAGTTTTTAAAATAGATTAGGTTACCAAGATAGAAGTTGGGAAAGCTATAATCTTTTTCTTGGAAAAATTCTTCAATTAAGTGCATGGATAGCGGATGTATAGAAACTTTTGGGGAAGTGTTCTCTGGTTGTTGGATAATTGGTTACATCTAATTATCAAATATTCATTGTCTCAGGAAGCACCAATGTGGGTGACCAGCTTCCCACCGGGCAGCTGTCCGTGGTGCCTTGGCGACGGACTGGGGTGAAATACACCAACAATGAGGCCTATTTTGATGTGATTGAAGAGATTGATGCCATCATTGATAAATCAGGTAAGTGCTTTCAGCCTGTTCACAGAACTATGAAAATAGAAAGAGGCCCCTTTTAGATAGTGCTAGCTAGTACCAGAATTACCCCCTATTCAAGGTCATACATTTTAACTTAGTGGCTACTTTGTGTCAAGTATTGTGTATTAGGACTGGACTGAAGTGTTATGATGTAGATGACATGATCATACATGTAGAAACTTCTAAAGACTCCAACCAAACACTTTTAGAACTAATAAATTCAATAAAGTTGCAGGATACGAAATCAACATGCAAAAATCAGTGGTGTTTCTATACACAAACAATGAACTATCCAAAAAGGGAAGGAAGAAAACAATCCCACTTACAATAACAACAAAAAGAATAAAATACTTAGGAAGAAACTTAACCGAAGAGACTTATACACTGAAAATTACAAAGCACTGATCAAGGAAATTGAAGAAGAGCAGATAAATGGAAAGACATGCTTTGTTCATGGATTGGAAGAATTAATATTGTTAAAATGTTCATAATACCCAAAGCAGTCTATCCCCATCAAAATCCCAAATGCTATCCACATAAATATCTCAATGGCATTCTTTATAGAAATAGAAAAAACCTAAAATTCATATGGAGCCACGAAAGACCTCAAATAGCCAAAGCAGTCTTGAGCAAGAACAAAGCTGGGAGCTTCACAATTCTATATTTCAAAATATATTACAAAACTACAGAAATCAAAATGTATGGTAGTGTCATAAAAACAGACATGTATCCCAGTGAAACAGCATAGAAAGCTCAGCAATAAATCCATGTGTTTACAGCCAGCTGGACTTCAACAAGAGTGCCAAGAACATGCAATGGGGAAAGGCTAGTCTCTGCAGTAAGTGGTGTTGGGAAAACTGGATATTCACATGTAGAAGAATAAAATTACCCTTATCTCACACCACATACAAAATGGATACAAGACCTAAACATAAGATCTGGAACCATAAAACTACTAGCAGAAAACATAGGGAAGAAGCTTCTTCACACTGGTCTGGGCAGTGATTTTTTGGATATGACACTAAAAGCAAAGGCAACAAAAGGAAAAATAGATGGGATTGCATCAAGCTAAAAAGCTTCTGTACAACAAAGGAACCAATCAACAGAGTGGAAAAGACAACCTACAAATGAGAGAAAATATCTGAAAACCATGTATCTGATAAGGGGTTAATATCCAGAATACACGAGGAACTCATACAATTTAATAGCAAAAAACCCCAGATAATCTGACAAAAAAGTGGGCACAAAGGATCTGAAGAGACATATTTCAAAAAAAGACATACAAATGACCAACAGGCATATGGAAAGGTGTTCAGTGTCACCAGCCATCAGGGAAAAGCAAGTCAAAACCACAGTGAGATACCACCTCACACCTCACATCAAAAAGACAAAAGATGACACGTGTTGACAATGATGTGGAGAAAAGGGAACCCTGTACACTGCTGGGGGGCGATGTAAGTTGGTGCAGCCACTATGGAAACAGTATGGAGGTGCCTCAAAAAATTAAAACTCCCTTATGATCCAGCAATCCCACTTCTGGGTATAGATCCAAAGGAAGTGAAATTAGTGTCTCAAAGAGATAATCTGCAGCCCCTTGTTCATTGCAGCATTATTCACAATAGGCAAGATATGGAAACAAGCTAAGTGTCCGTTGATGGATGAATGGATAAAGATGTGAGATAGACTCACACGCAGGAATATTTTTCAGCCATAAAATGAAGGAAATCCTGCCATTTGTGACAACATGGATGAACCTGGAGGACATGATGCTAAGTGAAATAAGCCAGACACAGAAAGGCAAATATCGCGTGATCTCACTTATATGTGGAATCTGCAATAGTCAACCTCATGGAAGCAGAGAGCAGAAGGGTGGTTACCAAGGACTTGGGGGAGAGGGAAGTGGGGAGTTGTTGGTGAAAGGGTACAAAGTTTCAGTTACACAAGATGAAAAAGTTCTGGAGATTTAATATATGGCACAGTGACTACAGTTGTGTACTTTTTTTTTTTTCCGGTGTTATTGGGGTGTAACTGACAAAACTGTAAGATACTTAGCATGTATATTATGGTGATTTGATATACATATACACTGTGAAAGGATTTCCCTCATCACCTCACATGTGTATCCTCTACTTGAAATTTGCTAAGAGTGCAGGGCTTAAGGGCCCTCACCACCAAGAAAACCCAACTAACTGTGTGAGGTGATAGATATGTTAATGAGCTTCATTGTGGTGATCACTTCACAGGGTATATGTGTATCAAAACATCAAGTCGTACACCTTAAATAGATACACTTTTTATTTGTTGATTATACCTCAACAAAGCTGAAAGAAAAGCAATAAGAAAAACATGATGCAGACCAGTGCTGAGCTTACATTTTCACTGGTTTTATCCTCTCGAGTGAAAAAGAAAAGTAACAACCTGATCTCCTGTTGATCAGATTTCCTTTTGGAAGTATTTGACTCTCAATTCTCATGGCAGAACTAACGTTGTAATCACTAAAATTCAGAGAACCTTCTTTTCTATCCATTGGGATAGGTTAATGTGACTACAAGTCCTTGGAGCTTAGAAATTTAGAGAAAGTTCTCTTCACATGAGTGAACTCAGTCATCCAGAAAGTGTTTACGGAGAACCAGTGGTGCTGTACCTGAGTGCCGGATTGTGCGCATGTGATGGTGACTAAGACAGGGTCTGTGGCTGCAGGAGGCTTCCTGAAAGTCTAGCGAGGGAGAGAGAAAGGGAAAAAGATGGAGCATAAGAGAGGTCCCCTCCTACCCAGGGCAAATTGTTAAGCTAACTAACGCTTTGTCAGGAGAATGAGTAGGAGTTAGTAACACCTACGTGGATTTGGGAGCAAAGCAGTGCAAACACTATAAGATGAGTAAAATGTTGTTGGGAAATAAAATAGCTCAGTGTGATTGGATTGAGAGGTGTTAAAAAAAAAAAAGAAAAGTAAGCGATGAGGCTTTAAAACGAAGTAGGCACAGAAGCTTTTCATATTAGCCCCAAACTGGAGAGGACCCAAATGTCCATCAGTAATACAAAGGACAAAGAAATTTCTATATGACCACACCGTGGAATACTCTACAGTAAAGAAAAAGAACTGCAGGTACACCTGACAGCATGAATGAACCTCATGGTGTTGAGCAGCAGAGTCAGATGCCTAAGATCATATACATTTGTATGACGTTGGAAAACATGTGCAACTTAATCTAAGGTAATAAAAGTCAGAATTTTAGGGACTCAGGTGAACTGGGATGGACAACAGGAGTGTGCTGGGTTGCCGGTGAGGGTCCGCATCTCGACGCGGGTCGTATCTGCATAGGTGTGAACATATTTAAAAATTCATTGGGCTGGACATTTAAGATGTTTGCGTTTTACTCCAAGTTTGATCTCAATGAAAAAGTAAAAAAACCAAACCCAAAAAGCTCTAGGTGGCCAGATGGTGAAGAATCTTGTATGCCATTTTAAGGAGGACGCTTTGGAGCAATTGAAGAGTTTTAAGCTGGGAATAATTTGACACGGTTTGTTGTTGAGAACCGTCCAATGGGCTGCTGCGTGCAGCATGGCACGGAGTTGGGGGGAGTCTCGGGGCAGGGAGGCGGGAGGCTGTGGTGGAGTCCCGGCCAAGGTACAGGTTCCGTGATGGTAGTGAGGATGGAGAGGAGTGGAGGAGTCACGTGAAGAGGGGATGGAGCGTTGGTGGGATATGGACGCCAAGGGGGCGGAAGTCATCAAGGACGCATCTGTGTTTCTGGCTTAGGCAACAGGATATCATGAAGCTAAGGAAAAGAGAAATTGCAGATCCAGGAATGAAGATAAGGGACTCACTTTTTGACACGTGGAGTTTGAAGTGCCTCAGTCACGTCCAAGTGGGGCAGTCCCGTTGGCAGGAGTGAGGCTGAACTGGAAAAAGGATTAGGAAATAACTGGCCATCAGTGGAAATCGAAGCCTTAGGAAGGAGGTAAAGTAACCCAAGGAGACCGTGTCAGGTTCAAGAAAAGAGAAGTTCAGAACTGTGATAAGATGTCGACATGTAAAGGATGTCCAGAGAAGGAGCAACCTGCAGAAGGCACGAGAGAGAAGAGCTAGAAAAACAGGAAATCGGAGCGGTTAGGAGGAGGGAACACTTGAAAGAAGGAAGTGGGCACGGGGCCCTGCAGCAGGGAGAGCCTGCAGGGTGAAGACCAAAAGTATCCCTTCCATTTGGTGGCAGAGCTCCTTGGTGCCCTTAGGGAGAGCAGTTTCTGATATGAATTCAGTGTTGTGAGCCATTGGTTAAGATAGCGGTGCTCTGTTGGATTCTGGCACTAGATTGAAAACTCCTTTAGGCTAGTAACTATCTCACCAGTCTTTTATCCCCACTGCTTCATTAGTGTCTTGCACTTGTTATGCAGTCGATAAAGGTTTAGAAGGAGGACAGATGGACTGGGTAGATAATTTGGATGGATGGATGGATGGATGGGTGGATGGATGGATGGATGGATGGACAGAAGGAAGGAAGAAAGAATGGGGGAGGGGAGGAAGAAGGAAGGAAGGAAATAGGATGGGAGAAAAAAGAGAAGGTTAAAGAAGGAGGGAGGGAGGAGGGATGTTAGTTGGGAGGGACAGAGAGGGTTTTACCTTCTTTCCACCTTGTTCTGTCTCAGGGTCCACAGTCACTGCCGAGATCCAGGGTGTTATTGATGCCTGCGTCAAGCTGACCGGAATGCCCGACCTTACGCTTTCCTTCATGGTAAAATCCTGGGCCAGAGATTTAGTTTTTGGGAAATTAGATGCTTCTGGAATGACAGAGTGGGGGGAAGGGGATGGAACCAGAAGAAGTGATCAAGGACAACCACAAAGCTCATGTTGGGCTTGAATTTTCTAAAAGTAACGACAGAATCTGTGTGTGTGTGTTTCAGTGAGAACAGCATCTGAGTTACTTTCCCGAAAGAAGCACGCTGTTTAATTCCTGCTTCTTGCTTTCCCTTGCCTGTCACTCAGAACCCTAGGCTGCTGGATGATGTCAGCTTCCACCCCTGCGTCCGCTTCAAGCGCTGGGAGTCCGAGCGCATCCTCTCCTTCATCCCTCCCGACGGCAACTTCCGCCTGCTCTCGTACCACGTCAGTGCACAGAAGTAAGCAGCCATCGAACCAAAGGGTGGAGTGTGCGTGTGCGTGCGTGTGTGTGCATGTGTATGTGTGTTTGGAAACAGTATCCAGGCTCTGGAGTTACCTGGGCTCTAGGTAACTAATTGGGTAACCTCAGGTGAGTTGCTTATCCTTTCCATGTCTGTTTTCTTACCTGAGAAAGTTGAAGTAATAAAAGTAATAAATGATGAATAAGTAAGTTGAAAATAATAAAAGTACCTTGTTATGTGGGTTAAATAAGGGACTCTAAATAGTGCTTCACACAAAGTAAGTGCTTGTTAGGTTTACTGCTGTAAGTTTTATTGTCGTTATTATATGCCTAAACGGGAACTTTTTCTTTTCTCAGATTGGAATCTAAGAACACCTGTATTCAATCCCCTCCACTCAAAAAAGCCATGAATGGTGCTATGAAAAAACATAAAATTCAGTGATTTTTTGGTCTTGCACATTCTGTTTACTATGGAGTCTGAGGGCTTTTAGGGGAAGGTGTATAGTAGAAGATATGCAGACTGAAGAGAGCTGTGGGACCTCACAGCCACTGAAGCCTTCCTGTGGGATTCGGAATAAATAATGTAGGGAAATGTCTGAGCGCCTGAGGGCAGAGGCTCTGGAATCAGACTGCCCACACTTAAGCCCCACCCATAGTACTTATGATATATGACCATGGCAAGTTAGTTAACCTCAGTTACGTATGAGGATGTCAGTATTCATGACATCAGGACAGAGGCAGTGCCTACTTCCTACTTACAGGGAGGATTAAATGAGCTAATAGAGAGAAAACCTTTAGAGTGGCGCTGGCCACAGGAAGTGCTCCACAGATGCTAAGGATGGTTACAACTTTAGTATCATCCTGTAGCTTCTGTGTTTCCTCTTCTGTCAGATGACAACCCTACCCCTTAGGGATTTTTAAGGATCAAAGTCAGGTAAAAGCACTCTCTAGAAATTGTAAAAGCTCCGTGACGTATGAATATTACCCTCCCAAGTACAAATAATTATTGGTCACATGTCACAAAGTAAAACACAGAAACGTGGTTTTTGTTTGCCACGCCTTTTTCTCATAGTCTGCCAGGTCTGCTCTTTGGTTTTGTTGATATCATTCAAAGAGTCATTAGAAGAATTAGTTTACTTACTAGTCAGCATCTTAGCTTTACAAAAAGAAAATAATTAAAGATGTCTAGAGGGTTTTTCTGTGCTTACTTTGTAAGATAAGGAAGCAGGTGAGGGAGGCAAGGCTGCCAGCGGGGCAGAAAAAGGGAAGTGTGGCCATTTTTCCGGTACATTAATGACATGGGCTTTTTGTCTCTCTCTTTTCCAGCCTGGTGGCGATTCCAGTTTATGTCAAACATAACATCAGCTTCCGGGACAGTAGTTCTCTTGGCCGCTTTGAAATAACGGTGGGCCCTAAGCAGACTATGGGGAAGAGCATCGAGGGGGTGACGGTCAGCAGCCAGATGCCCAGAGGCGTCCTGAGCATGAACCTCACGCCGTCTCAGGGCACGCACATGTTTGACCCGGTCACCAAGGTAGGAGAATAAGCGGGAGGCTTGAGCTGCCGTTGTTATAAATAGCAGGAACTCTGCAGGAACCCTTTATATCTTGTGGAAAGGGGAGATGGATCAAAGGGACATTGTTTAGGACACTGAGATAATTGATGGTAACAAATAGTATTGTCTGCTGGGAAACACCCAGGAGGCCGGCACCTCAGATGAAGGTTCCACTGTAACTTCTTTCCTGTTTCTTTGGAGATGCTGTCTTGGGATGTAGGAAAAATAAATCCCCAAAAGCTCCCCGGTTTGAAGGGGACCGTGAGTCTTCAGGCTGGAGCTTCCAAACCCGATGAGAACCCCACGATTAACCTGCAGTTTAAGATCCAGCAGCTGGCCATTTCTGGTGAGTGACACCCAGCCCGACGTTGTGGGGCGGGCAAGCGGCCAAGGCAGTGAGCGACATCGCAGAGCCTCCCGGCGGCTCCCTGTCTGCAGAGTTGTGTTTCGTTACCGGATACATGATCTTTAGTCAGATCTTTCGTAGCACATTTCTGGAGAAAGTCCGTAATCCTCACCTCAAAGTTGGCTTAAGTGACATGAATAAAAGTGTCTGAGACACATGTGAGAAGGAAACAGTATCGGAGACAGAAGTGTTCACAGGCCGAGGCTGAGTCACCCTGGGCCTGCTGATTGGGGTCCCAGGGTTTTCAGTAGGGGGATGCGTCCGCATTCTCAGCTGGTGACTGAAAGAAGAATTCCCCTCCCCTCCTTTCCCCCAGTCTCAGAAGATTTCACAGGTGCTGTTATCATTGGGAACCCTCGGGCCAATCCGAGTCATTGACTGTAGCCTATGCCCCGCAGGTAGTTGACTGCGCCAGGCACTGGTTTAAGTTCTCTTCATCTATTATTCAGTCCTTAGAACGACCCTTTCAGATGGATAGGAGATGACTTCAGCTTTATATGACGCTCCTGTTCTTTTTTACCAACGGATCTTGTCTAGTTTAAGTGATTAGAATTCATTTAAATAAGCTCTTTCATCTTAAAATACGTAATAAACTTTAAAGCTCTGCACATTATAAAATGTCCATTTCTTAGTATAGTGAGAATATTTAGGAAGCACTCATGTATTAATTCATCACTTTTCATCATTAATTTATTCATTTAGTTATACCTTTATTTGATTATGAATTTGTTAATTTTGTTATTATTATTAATTCATATGTTCAACCCCATAACTTGAGAAAAATCTGGAGCGGTCTTAGTTTTCCCTTACCCTCATTTCAGCCTGCGTATAACTTTCTGCCCTTTCCACTTCAGGAGTATGTCTCCGAATAGGCTAGCTTTTCATTGGGGCAGGGTTTTATTTTCAGCCTGTATACCAAGAGTGAAGTATCTGTCGGCTGCGTTTAAGTGATATAAGTAAGGGCAGGTATTTTCCAATTCACTGTTGCAGCTTTTTCTAGCCCACGGATCTCTTTGAGTTGAAACGAACCTAAACAGTTCTGCTACCTGCTTCTTTTGAGTAATGCTTATGTCTTGTTCTTCCTTCCTTCCAGGACTCAAAGTGAATCGTCTGGATATGTATGGAGAGAAGTACAAACCCTTTAAGGGCATAAAATACATGACCAAAGCTGGCAAGTTCCAAGTTCGAACCTGAAGGGAGAGTTCTGCAAAGGGAACAGTCGTGAACACTTTTTCATTGCTTACTTGTCTAAAAGTAAAAACTGTCAGCCCTCTCCTAGGTCACTGCCCACTCTGGACCACCTGCTCCTGTTTTCCCGTAGCTACAGTGCCCCGGAGCTAGTGAAGGGAGGAGGCCGGGCCGCCAGGGAGGCCTGTGCAGAACCCACACACCAGCAGCACCAAGTCAGTTCTCAAAGCAGAGGCGTGCGATGCAGGGGGAGGTACTTGATGCCGTATGTAACTACTTGTGACATGGTTACCACAGGAAAAGACCAGCATTTGTTACTCGCTTGGCTTTAATTATCTGAAGCTAAGGAAAGACGTCTTTAGTTTTTGTTTTTTTTTTAATTAATTTATTTTATTTTTAGTTATTTTTGGCTGCGTTGGGTCTTTGTTGCTGCGCAGGGGCTTTCTCTAGTTGTGGCGAGCAAGGGCTACTCTTCATTACAATGCAGGGGATTCTCATTGCAGTGGCTTCTCTTGTTGTGGTGCACGAGCTCTAGGCACACGTGGGCTTCAGTAGTTGTGGCACGCGGGCTCTGTAGTTGTGGCTTGTGGGCTCTAGAGCGCAGGCTCAGTAGTTGTGGCGCACGGGCTTAGTTGCTCTGCGGCATGTGGGATCTTCCCGCACCAGCACTTGAACCCATGTCCCCTGCATTAGCAGGTGGATTCTTAACCACCTCGTCACCAGGGAAGTCCTGTTTTTGTATGTCAAGCTGGGAAGAAAGATTAGAAAGAGAGAGCAAGCTTGGAAGAGAAGGACTGTTAGCCAAGGAAGGGCCGGAGAAGGCTCTGTTCTCGGGGCAGCGTGAAGTACACGTGCACACCGCACACTGAAATGAGGAAGGTGGGAGGAGCTGTCCAGCTCCACCTGCAGGGCGGCTGGGAGGAACAGAGTTGAGTGAGTTTCTTTTTGACCCTTCCGCTTTCATACAAACATAAACATTTGTACTTCTGGAAATGCACTGGAAACTTCTTAAATTCGAGTGCACTGTTGACATGGAAACCCCAGTAGAATCAGATTTTCCCTTAAAGACTACGATGCTCTCCGACCGGTTTTCCAATACTGACCACTGCATGCCTCCAGCACGTGGCCTGGCATCTTCAGCGAGGATGAGCTGCTCTCTTCCAGGGGGTGTTGCCTGAAACGCCTCTTTCCCTAACCCCCCAACGGCTCCACTCACTTCACGCTACAGAATTCCTGTTCCCCGAGGAGCGCTTCAGAGAAGCCAATCCCATCACCCCTAGGGCAGCAGGTTGTGTGTCATAGTATCGGAGTGTAGATGGCCCCCTCGTGCCACCTCTGTGACCCAGTGGTTCCTTGTTCATGTCTGTCAGTGCTGCCCTGGTGCTGCAGTCCGACCTTGCCGTCTGCAGCTTTTCTGGTTGTGACCCTAAGTGAGAAGGATGCTGACCACCGAGGGCACGGCCAGTCCTGGGAGCTGCCCAGTAAAGTTATTTCCTCGGAGTCTCCACTATATAATATATTCATTAACAATGTATATCGACCAGTCGGTTTTTGTTTTAAGACAAAAAAATCTCCTGAATTGTTGAATAAAACTGATGTTGTAGGAAGATGGGCCGTGTTGATCCTGTGTAGCCTGGTTTAAGAAACACGGGCAACTGAAGGCAGACCTCAGGTGTTCCCAGCAGGGAATTTTTACTCTAGTTTAATACGCCCATTACCCACTGAAATATTTATAGAAAAGACAGGTTTTTAAAATTATACCTTTAGGAGCGATACTGCACCCTGCTTCGTGCAGGGAGAAAAATGAAGACCTTGTACTCTCCAAACCCTATGTTTTTTCTCTAAAACCCTGTTTCCAAATACTTCAGCAATTGTTTTGCTCTAGTTTTCTCTTCCTACTTCCTGGACTTGTTTTTGCTGCAGAATACTGTTGCTTTATGGTTTTCCTCTGGGGTCAACTGTGCTGGGGACAGACAGCACATGTGTCTCATTGTCTCATACTCCATCACTCCAGAATTTGTCCTGGATTCCCAGGTCCCATACACACCTGCCATGGAAGGGAGACGCCTCTGCCTGTGGATTCCAGAATACCGGAGCTGCTTCTCCCGAGGGCTCTGGAGGATTTCAGGGTTTCCTCGGTCATAGGAAACAACCAATATTTGTCCCTGAATATTCTTAGGTTTATAAGTCCAGCTGTCCCTCCAGGGCAGCTCATTCTAATTTCAAGGGAAGAACTTAAGGAGAAATAAAGCACCGGTGCTGTGGGACCCACAGGCCTTTGCATGGGAGGCACCCCTGGGCTGCAGACCCCTGGCCACCCCCTTCAGCCAGTGGTGTGTTAGCATAGGTGGGGCCGGGCGCCTCTGCCGAACCGCTCGGTTCCATACATGTTTAACGTGCAGAAGCATCTGCTGTGTTTAAATGTTAATAAAGTTGAGTGTTAACAGTCCTTAATGTCCTGAGGGTCATGTTACTAGGACTAGCGGTGATGCCGTGCACACACGCCCCAGTGGAAGCAGGAAGAAAGAAACCAGTTCATGGGGATCTCACTGCTTCTGCACTTTCCAACCAGCAGACCTGAAGCCATATGTCATTTTGAAGGTTGTGAGAACAAAGGTCCAGAGCCATCAAATTATGTCCCGCCTAGCGTGTGAAAGACAAAACCATCCAAACTGCTGGCGTCTATTCTAGTGCTTTCCTCTTCCTCTCTATCTTCCTGGGTTGATTAGTTAGGGCGTGAAACGGGGCTCCGAGGTCCCAGTCATCCTAATTGTAGTGGAGATTTCCCAGAGTCTCCAGTGAAGTGTAGACAAGGGTCCTTCTCCTACGTCTGTCCTGATTTCCTTCTCTAGATCCCTCGTGGCCTGGGGGAGACTAAGACTTCTTTCTGTTTTCTAACCACAAGTGTTGTTGAGTGTTTATTACTACCCCATCCTATCTGTTTCAGTCGTTCACGTCTCTTCCTTTGGTCGGGCTGTTTCCCTAACCTTGTGGTGTGACCGGGTACATTTTATAACATTTGTACTTTCCTCTATGGCCAGTAGGTGGTGACTCAGTGCCAGCAATGACATTAATTTTTGTAATTGTTAGAATTTTTAAAAGGGAATTGAATTTGAAAAGCTTAAACTTTCCCCCAAGATCCCAAGTACTAGGGACTTTGTGGGTCTTTGGCTTTCAGAGTTAAATGTGGAACCAAAGTTTATGACACTCTTTTGACAGCCTGACTTAAGATTGGGGCTCCAGGGGGGTCGGAGTTTCAATCATTTGAGTTCCTCTAGGCCTTTACCCATTAAAACAATTTGCACAATTATCTGAGAATCATTTTTGTTCTTTGGGTCTATTAGCATCTATCTGTTTTATCAATATTAACCAGCTGGGGATAGTAAAGAAATACTACTTAATTTACCCTTATACCCATTTTGTTCCCCCGACAAGTCCCAGACAGTTTACCCTGACTTTTCTCACCCACACCGGGTAATGATGTGTTGCGCTTTGAGTGTGTTTTAGCCTCATCCACATGAATCAGTCCTGCAGGGCTGGGGCTCTGCCTGGAGCTCAGTCACTGGCCTCTGCTGAGCACCTGTCTTCATGCAGCCTTTGGTTTCCAGGACTTCACTCAGAGGAATGTTGGGGCCTTTTAACTTTGCATTTCCATCAAAGGAGCCCTCACTGCTTCAGTTCATTTCATTAACCCAACTACCCAAAGAAAAGCTTGTCCTGCAAGGGGGCAGGGGGTGAAACCAGCTCAACTCTGGCCAGAGATGCTCGGGGTCTTCCTTACTGCTGTCCTCCAGCAGTGTTTTTCCGAAATGGCTAAGATGCACATCTGTCTAGGACAAAACCTGCCACTTTCACAGGGGAACTTGTAAGCCAGCAGGCTAAGGTCAGGAAGTCTGTGACTTACATTCCTGTGACCCACGTTTATTGAACTGGTCCAGGGACTTGAGCATTTCAGGGAAATTGGTGTTTTCCCCTGTGAACCAAACTCTTGGGCTTTAGAGAGCCTCTTTCCTTTGTGAGTTGAAACTACTTTTCTTCTAAGAACCTCTAAGCTGAGCAGTTCTGACAGCCTCGAGAGAGAGACAACTATGACCTCGTTTGCTCCAAGGAACAGTCGGCACTTACGCAACAGCAAGAATGGCATCATATTTATGCTTGTATCTGGGGCGTCAGTGATAACAAACACTGTCAGGCAGCAGCCAGGAGTATGGGTTGCATCTCAAGAGTAGTTAAAGTCTAAGAGAGGCAGAAAGCAGCATTACTTAAGTAACATACTTGTGTGGACTGGTCTGGGACTGAATTCTTTCTAATGAGCAGAAAAGCAAAATGGACTGGGAAAAAATGGCCCTAATACTAGCTCCTAGTCTGAACTAATAATTGGGATGTCGCTGTGTCAGCAAGGTCATGCTTAGCATCTTCTTATCCCTCATTCCTCCTTTATACTTGGGTCCAACCTAGGGAGTCTCCCTACCTAGTCTGCTCACAGGGCTAACTTCCCTGAGCCTCGCTTGGTCCATCACTCCCCTAGCCCAAGCCTCTGTGGTTCCCTGTTGCCAACAGAAGTAAGTCCAAAGCTCGGTTTGGCATTCAAAGCGCCGTAATTAAATTCCAACCTACATTCTTCTTCATGAACTTCACTTTGGACAAACTAACTCAGATCCTCCCCAGACTCGCCCTGCCTTTTTTGCCCTCCAGATCTTTAGATTTTCATGCAGTGATATTCCTTGCCTCAGGCACTATATTCAATATCCTCTGACAAACCACAATGGAAAAGAATATGAAAAAGAACGTGTATATATGTATAACTGAATCCCTTTGCTGTGCAGTAGAAATTAACAACATTGTAAATCAACTGTACTTCAATAAAACAGAATTTCAAAAGAATTTTAAAAATGAATGCCTTTCCCACCCCACTCCACTAGCCCAAATCTTGCCCAGTTTTTGAAAAGCCTACCTAATTCTATTTTTTCCTTAAGATTCTTTTTTTCAATTTTTCTTTTATTTTTATTTTTATTTTTTGCGGTACGCGGGCCTCTCAGTGTTGTGGCCTCTACCATTGTGGAGCACAGGCTCCAAAGGTACAGGCTCAGCGGCCGTGGCTCACGGGCCCAGCTGCTCCGCGGCATGTGGGATCTTCCCGGACCGGGGCACGAACCCGTGTCCCCTGCATTGGCAGGCGGACTCTCAACCACTACGCCACCAGGGAAGCCTCTTTTTTTATTTTATAACAAAAAGTGAATCAGCTGTACATATACATATAATCTCCTCCCTCTTGCGTCTCAAGAATTCAAAGATTCTTGAGTCCTTCCTGCAGCTGAATTTCAGTAAAACTTTCTGTCTGCTATTTTGTGGTCCATCTCCATTCAGCCTTCTTATTTCCCTAAATCCCTATCTTCCTGTCAAACCAAGAGCTCCTTTCTTCCCCCTCTGTACCATTTACATCACCTGGCACAGGG